AGCTATCTGCCCACCTCGGCCTCCCAGAGTGCTAGGATTACAGGCATGAGCCACCGCGCCCGGCCTGATCAATGATCTTTGATGTTACTATTGTAATTGCTTTGGGGCTCTGTGAACCATGGCCATATAAGATGGTGAACTTAATTGATAAATGTTGTGTGTGTTCTGTCTGCTCCATCAACTGGCTGTTCCCCCATCTCTCTCCCTCACTTCGGGCTTCTCTATGCCCCGAGACACAGCAATATTGAAATCAGGCCTGTTAATAACTATACAATGGCCTCTAAATGTTCGAGTGAAAGGAAGAGTTGCATGTGTCTCACTTTAAATCAGAAGCTAGAAATGATTAAGCTTAGTGAGAAAGGCATGTCACGAGCCAAGACAGGCTGAAAGCTAGGCCTCTTGTGCCAAACATCTAGCCAAGTTGTGAATGCAAAGGAAAAGTTCTTGAAGGAAATTAAAAGTACTACTCCAGTGAACACATGAATGATAAGAAAGTGAAACAGCTTTATTGCTGATAAGGAGAAAGTTCTGGATAGTGGTCTGGATAGTGGCTGGATCAAACCAGCCACAACATTCCCTTAAACCAAAGAGTCATTCAGAGCAAGGCCCTAAATCTCTTCAATTCTATGAAGGCTGAGAGAGGTGAGAAGTCTCAGAAGAAAAGTTTGAAGCTAGTGGAGATTTAATTCATGAGGTTTAAGGAAGGAAGCCATCTCCATAATATAAAAGTACAAGGTGAAGCGGCAAGTGCTGACATACAAGCAGCAAGTGATCCAGAAGATCTAGCTAAGATCATTGATGAAGGTGGCTACATTAAACAACAGATTTCCAGTGAAGACGAAACAGCCTTCTACTGGAAGAAGATGCCATCTATTACTTCCATAGCTAGAGAAGAAAAGTCAATACTTGGCTTCAAAGTTTCGAAGGACAGGCTGATGATTCTCCTGTTAGGGACTAATGCAGCTGATGACTTTAAGTTGAAACCAACATGCTTATTTACCATTCCAAAAACTCTAGGTTCCTCAAGAATTATTTCAAATCTACTCTGTCTGTGCTCTATAAATAGAATAACAATGCCTAGATGACAGCACATCTGCTTATAGCATGGTTGACTGAATATTTTAAGCTTACTGTTAAGTTCTGCTGAGAAACAAAGATTCTTTTTAAAAATATTACTGCTCGTTGACAATGAACCTGGTCACCCGGGATCTCTGATGGAGATGTACAAGGACACGAATGTTGTTTTCATGCCTCAGAACACAACATCCATTCTGTTGCCCATGGATCAAGGTGTAATTTTGACTTTCAAGTCTTATTATTTAAGAAATACAATTTGTAAGGCTATAGCTGCCAATAGATAGTGATTCCTCTGAGGGATCAGGGAAAAGTAAATTGAAAACCTTCTGGAAAGGATTCACCATTCTAGATGCAATTAAGAACATACATGACTTGGAGGAGGAGATAAAAAAAATAGCAACATTAACAGGAGTTTGGAAGAAGTTGATTCCAACCCTCATGGATGACTTTAAGAGGTTCAAGACTTCAGTGGAGGATGTCACTGCTGATGTGGCGAAAAGAGCAAAAGAACCAGAATTAGAAGCAGAACCTGAAGATGTGACTGAATTGCTGCAATCTCATGATCAAACTTGAACGGATGAGAAATTGCTTCTTATGGATGAGCAAAGAAAGTGGTTTCTTGAGGTGGAATCTACTCCTGGTGAACGTGCTGTGAACACTGTTGACATTAAAACAAAGGATTTAGAATATTACATAAACTTACTTGGTAAAGTAGCAGTAGGGTTTGAGACGATTAAGTCCAACTTTGAAAGAAGTTCTACTGTGGGTAAAATGCTATCAAACAGCATCACATGTAACAGAGAAATCTTTCATGAAAGGAAGAGTCAACCAATGCAGAAAACTTCATTGTTGTCTTATTTTAAGAAATTGCTACAGCCACCCCAGCAATCACCACCCAATCAGCAGCATCAGCATTCAGGCAAGATCTTCCCCAAGCAAAAAGATTATGATTCACTGAAACATCAGATCATCTTTGGCATTTTTTAGCAGTAAAATATTGTTAAAGTATGCATATTGTTTTTTTAGACCTAATGCTATTGCACACTTAGTAAGGCTACTAAGTATACAGTATAATATAAATATAACTTTTGTATGCACTGGGAAACTAAAAAAATTGTGTGACTCACTTTATTGCAATAGTTGCTTTCTTGTGATATTCACTTTATTACAGTTGTCTGGAAGTAAACCTGCAATATCTCCAAGTTATGCCTTTATACTGTATAAGCAACTAATGAAAATGATACTATGGAAAGCAGAGGACAAGGAACTAGGTAAATGAGACAAAAGTGGAAAGAGACTCTCAATGTATATCTTTTTATTTTTACTGTTTGATTTTGAATTTTGTGAATGTATTGCCCATTAAAAAATAAAATTAAAGAATTTGAAAAGTGAAAATGCTAGACAAATAGGCATACATAATAAACTCAGGATCTGTTTCTAAGCCAAGTCCACGTTTGTCAGGTAAAATTACTTTCCTGTCAGTAGGATTACTACATTTCTATATCTTTCCAGAAGGGAAATATTGAGTTTAAGGTTTCAACAGGACCTGATGCTTGTTGGGAGCATCAGGGTCATGAGAAAAGAGTTATTTTGACTTTCCTTCTTGAAGCTGGTATGTTCTTTCTCTCACTGCTTGGAATAGATAGAAGTCCCTCAAGGTTCTGCTTTTATTGCTCTTTTTCTCATCTACTTCTTCTCAGTCATAATCACATTCACTCCCCTTGCTTCAACTGGCCCCTATAATCAATCTATATTTCCAATCCTTATCTCGCTTCCAAATCCTAGACCTGAAATCCCAAGGGCCAGATAAACATGGTTTATCACTCATGGTTTCAACTGGAAACAGATGGCGCATTTAAATTGGGATAATTAAAGGAGCCTTCCTTTACAAAGAGACTATTTGCAAAAGTTTGGGGAGAGGGGAACCACAGGCTTTCACCAGCCCAAATCCAAAGGGAAAAAGAGAGGGAGAGATTACTAGAACCTAGGAGAGAGAGTTGTAGAGAGAAGGATGCTTGCAGTGGTCTTCCCTGCAGCAGGGGATGCAGCCAGGCTGAGGTGGCCTCCCTGGGAAGAAACCAGAGAAATAAATATCCAGACTTCATGCTCCTCCCTCCTACTCACCTCCTGCTGGGCTCCCCATTGGCAAAACTCAAACAGGAGCCAGAGGGCACAAGAGGCTGTGCATATAGCCCTTCAGATCAGAACTACTTGGGTCTGGAGCAGAGTGGGAAAGGATGGAAAGCAGATATCAAGGGGAAACCTGAGTGTATGTGATGAGCTTGAGTCCATTACTGTCCTGTTGGCACCTTAAACTCAACATTTCCCTAACCAACCACATTGTCTTCATTGACCTGACCTTTCTCCTGGGTTCCTTAGTCACCTTGGTTAATGGTGCCAGTGCACCATTAACCAGTGTCATCCTAAACTCCAACTCCCCTGCCCTGCATATGCACACATGCACATCCATACATTGAATCGTTCTATTCCATTGGATTGTGAATTCCTGGAGGTAAGGCCCATGAGCGAGGACTCAGGGAACGTTTTATGGATAATGACAGATAACATTATTGGGCACTTGACTTATCAGGCACCATGTTGAGCACTTAATTTGAATTGTATCATTTAATCTCTCAACATTATAGTACCTACTCCATGAGGTAGACATTATTATCCCCACTTTACAGATTAATAAACCGAGGCTAAGAGAGGTTAAGTAATCCAATGTTACATACTTAAAAGAGGACATCTGACACGGGAGCCCACCCTCAGGCACTATGACCCATATAATCCCTCGTTCAAGGTTGAACGAGCCACCCACAGTGATAAGGCAGTGCTTTGCTTATTGAAAAAGAAGTCTATGTTGGCCAAATAGTATAATTCAGAGAAAGCAAGGGTTGGAGCTAGGGCGTTTGCAGAATTTTAATGAACAGAGAGAGGGAAAAAAGAGGGCGTGCCAGTAGAGAAGGCCAAGAAATAGCTAGGAGAGATTATAGTTTGTAGGCTTGTGTAGAGAAGGCCTTGACCAGATCAGAGAGCAAATATTCAGAACCAGTGAGATAAGATTGAGGAGGATATTAAGGAAACCCAGATTATGGAGGACCTTGAAGTCAATGAAGCTGCTGAGCCTCCCTGTAGAAGAAAATGTGGTGTTTGGGGAAGATTAATTTGCCACTTACAAAGTGTGTAGGATGGATTGGAAGTGGAAGATCGTTGTTAGAAGGACCAGCTGGGAAGTTGTTCTAATGGTCCACAGATAAATCAGTAAAAGCCTGGACTACAGTGAGGCAATGAAAATGAGGAATTAACATAGGATACAGGAAACACTTCAAAAATAATCGACAGCACTTGCAGATTGATTGCCACAGGGAGGAAAGAGGCTTGGACTTCAGTTACAAGGACTTCAGTTTCTAGTCTTTGCTTGTGGTCTTGCTGTTGCCTGAGAAGTTGGAGTTGGATGAGAGAGAAAGGAGAAGGTAAGTACAATTTTAGGTATATTGAGTTTGATGTGAAGGCCTAATTGACCCATTTGTCACTCCTAGTTTGGCCAATTTAGAGATCTAGTCCTATCATCACCCTCTTAGTGCAGCCGGCAGTGGGTCAGTCTCATAGAGATCTGGTCATACTGTACAAAAAGGAGTAAGAGCTGTGGGCCACATATCAACCTTTTATTCCTATTATAGTTTTCCAGATTTTTACCTTATAAGCAGCTTTCATTTCTCAACTTTTTGCCTTTTTAGTTTTTCTCTGTATTAATTTTCAGGACACATCTAGCCTCTGAACACATCCCGTCCTGCTGTGATGTGTGTGCCGGGAGGGGGGCAGGGTAGAGCTTGGGTATCATAACACACCAGGGTACTGAAGCCCTGTGATTCAGGACTAACATACTGCGCCTCTAATTGATAATATTTTCTGCTTCACAGTAGCTGAGCCGAATTGCACAGACTTGGAGGAGTAAATGAAACAAGTGTTTTATGGAACAACAGGCAAACCATTTAAATCTATAACTACTATGCTTATGTTTCCTGCTTCCTTGTCTACAATGGAATGTAAGTGGTATCTGTGAGCCACACACAGTCATTTCCTTTTATATTTGCAAATAATACTGAAAATGACATTATATCCTTGCTCTGGTTCCTATGAGACTTAAAAGGCTACGTTGACAAAACAAGAAAACTAAATCATTTGTAAGTATGTAAACAACCAGATTGCCAACATCACCACTGTTCTCTAAATTCTAGAAGACAAAAGGAACTCATAGAAATCATAAATACTGGTCTTTTGGTCACAAAGATTGAAAGATAAACACTTTTTTTTTACTAGAATAAATACTTCCCTGGCTTACCTACAAAGTTTGCCACGCCTAAAATATGTAAATGACCCCCAAATTTAGAAAACCTTAAAAATTGGAATTGCGTATAAAAGTGTTCCTAGAGTTTGGCTATGAAAATACTGCATTGTATTTATAATTTACTTTAAAATTTCAACTAAGTACAAAGATGAAATGTTTAGGCAGCTATCTGCAGATATTTTTGTTGTTTAGATTAGAACAGTAGCATAAATAAAGGATTTAAAAGATGGCAGGATGAATTTTCACTAATGAGTTGTAAAAATAGGTAAAGAGGAAGGAGCTGCAGGTCTGATAAATTTATACTACAAAATGGCATTTATTCTAAAATAGGGTACAGTAACACCTTCATAAATTACATTGCCTTAAGACTCAGTGGTTTTGGTCAATCCCGGTTTACTCAGAAAAACTGCTCAAATAAGAAGCACTGATGTAACTAGTACTAATACTCCATTTCACTTTCAAAAGTGTCTGGATTTGGACAACATATGGTCACCTATACACAAATAGCATGATGCTATATGCATTTTTTTAAAAATCCAGAGTTTTATCAACTTTAATTCTTTTAAAAATTATTTATTTTATGTATTATTTACCTATGTGCCAGGAATGATGGTTTGAGATACAAAGATGAAGATATTGTTCCTGCCCATATGGAGCTTACCTATGCAATGTGAAAAGTGCCCCGGTAAACAATAAACACTTGTTTTAGTCTTTCCCAAGTAAAAACTATACAATCGTCCACTGAGGATAATGATGATAGTGGGCACCTTATTTTCATGCTTTTAAAATGAAGGTCTCTGGGATTTCACTCTTAAACAGAGTAATTTCTCTCCAGCTGTGATTTTTGAGATTCAGGGTTGTTCTATATGTTTGGGGAGGGGGAAAAAAGACCTGAGTTTGACGCCAGATTGCCTGGATTCAAATTCTGACTCTGTCATGTCATAGCTGAGTAGTCTTGGGGTCCTTACATATTTACCAGTGATTCCTCAGTGTCCTTATTTATAAAAATGAAGGTAATCAGTTCCTGCTTCATGGAGTTTTTGTCAAAATGAAAAATGTTAATGTGTGTGAAGGCTTTAAGAATAATGGTGGTATATGGTAAACCCTTCTCATGCTTTAGCTATTATGATTTAAACACACATATTTATACATTGCCTTAGTCAGCTCTGGCTGCTATAACAAAATACCATCAACTGGCTGGCTTAAACAACAAACATTTATTTCTTATGGTTCCAGAGGTTGGAAGTCTGAGATCAGGGTGTCAAGTGGGTTGGGTTCTTGGTGAGGGCTCGCTTCCTGATCTATATAGACAGCTGCCTTCTTGCTGTTCCTTACATGGTGGAAGGAGAAAGTTCATTCTCTGGGGTCTCTTTTATGAGGGCACTAATCCCATTCATGAGACTACCTCTGAAAGGCATCACCCCCTAATATCATCACATTGGGGATTAGATTTCAACATATGAATTTTGGGTGGGGGGAAGGGGACACAAACATTCAGTCCATGACATACATATTCAGTTCAAGCCCCTTAAACTGTTTCTCAACTAAGAGAACTACCTTTCCTCACCCCACCTCCCCAAATTAGAATCTCCTGGAGGTGGTGCCCCTTGAGGGGTATAATACTCTTTCCTTTCACACCTTTATAATCACTGTAGTGATTGAAAACCACTGTGACTGATGGGCTTTTAGTAGTCCCCACTTGTGCTGGGAGAAAAAAAAAAAACTAAGAATCACTGCCTTAAAGGTTAACAAATCTTTGCTCCCATGGTGTAAATGGAACAATAGTTTTTTATTTACTTGTTTGTTTGTTTAGGCTAAACTAGAAGATGAAAACTGTCCCTAGCAGAAAGGAGAAGGTAATAGATGTTACTTAGTATTTTGCTAAGAGTTATGAAAACGAAATGAAAGTGCTAGTGTAAAAGATGCTAAATTGTATCCAGTAAGAGCTGGCTTAAAACTTTTATTTAAAAGATTACAAAGAAGCTAAATATTTCCTAAATTGAAAGCAACTCAGGGGAAGAGTTACCTACAGGGCACATTTTTAATTCTGATGAATCCCTTTTGTTTTAAAAACAGATTTATTTTAGTATCATCTTATTTATTTAATGCTATTTTTATTATTTTCTCCACAATGCTCAGGATGGCGACACCCATAATTGTCCAGGGATCACTTCTGTATAAAATTGCTGTTAGCTTATATCTTTGTTTCTTAAAACAATTTTAAGCCCACTGAAAAGACAGAGCACATTGAAAGATGGGCTGATCTCAGGCCTGTGGCAGGAAATTAAGAGGAGTCTGGGACACCTTGCTGTGCTAAAGGCGTGGGGATTACCAAGGGTAAAACACGGTAAAGGAATGAAAATAAAGAAAAAAAGAGAGATGGAGAAAATATGGCAAAATCTTGATAATTCTAGGTGACATCTGTATGGGGTTCATTTTACTATTTTCTCTTGTATTTGCTTGGAGTTTTTTCATTAAAAATAAACATTTACATAATTTAAGTCTTTAATGCAATACAACACAAATTCATACATTCTTAATAAAATTAGACAAAACAGATAAATAAAATACAAAACATTGATAATCCCATCACTCAATTACTGTTAACAATTTGCAATGCTTTCCTGGCATTATTCACTGCATGTACAATTTTTAAAAAACTATTTCTTCCCCTTCAATTTCTCATATCTTTCATGGCCTAAAAGCACTACTTTGATTATGTTATTACACCGCTCTATCATCCACTAGAACTTTTCATAATTACCAAATATAGTCTGGGCTCCCTCCAACATTCCTTCCATAATTCTTTTTACTACCTTCTGTCTCCATAGACCTCTCTGCTCCAGCCACACTGGATATCCTAAGATTCAATCCAGATTGGTTTCTGCATAAATGTCATAATTTATAATCTGAAGGAACACTCAAGACCTTTAGAATAATATATTTGGGGATTTCAAAGTTTAGAATTCTTGATACAACTAGCAACGTGTCCCGGCAGAGAGCTTAATTTTTGTGAAAAGGCCAAGCTGTTACATAAGCATTTTGCCGGGATCCATGAAAAGAAATCAAGAGAATGCAATTCAGCCTGTGACTTGAAAACTAAAAAAAGGTGGGAGAATCTGCCTTCATGGGTCACATTGCTTCTGCAATTGCAGCAGCAATAGCATGTTTCTTATTTAGTTGAGCACAGGAAGCATAAGGTTCCCCAAAGGTCTGGGCGTCACACTCTTCCAGAACTGAGAATTCTGGCCCCTTAAATAAGCTTGTCCCTTGTTCAACTATGCTGCCTTCACTGCACTCTACTTTTGCTACTATGAAAGGTTGTAATTTTGGTTATAAAAAGTATAACTCCATTGTTGTTTCTAAACTTCAACAATTCTGTATGTCAATTGTTTCGGTAATTACATACTTTCACAACTAGAAGGAATCTTACTCATGATAGATGAATATTTTCTTCTTGTATATTTTTACCAAACCTCTAAAAATCAGACAGTTTGACACTAACACATTCAAAACTAAATTCCTGATAATTTTCCAGGTCTGTCTTCGTATTTACATTGGTTGTTGCTCTATTAATATTCTCTGTAAAACTTTGTTTAGATTCATGTTAAAACAACTTCCTTTTGGTACAGATTAATCCCCAGACTAAGATAAACATGGGTTAGAACTCCCTCTGTAAGCCACCCCAAATCTTGAAATCAGCTGAACCCCAAATCATTTCAAAAACCAACACTGATGAAATTTCTGCTAGTAGGTACATTGTCCTAGTAGCTATAACATAGCCATCTTTAGCTTCAGATAGGTAGCATGCTGCTTTGGTGTGACAGTGGTTTTCCATGAATATTGACTTACCCTTCTTCTTGTCTAAAGATAGTAAGCATTAGGTAAACTTTAATTTCTTACCAAAATAGACTACTAAGAAACAGTAAATTCCCAAGCCTGAGTATTTCATGCCCGAAGTCTGGTTTTAAAAGGTTAATTTGAGTTGGAAATATTGAACTGGTTCTTGGATGAGATTCAGGACTGGTAGAGTAGATCTGGGAGTTTTATTTATTCAGCATACTATATTTAAGACACAGGGTTAGGCGATGTAGGACATGTAGAAGTGAAGGTCTTGATTATTTTTCTTTCTCTTCTACCACCATCTCCTGCCCTCCCCCACTCCTTCTTTTCATTCCACTTACCTGTCTTTCTTGAACACAGTGTTCTTATTCTCACGTCTTTTTTCATATAATACATATATTTGGTTTAAAAAAATAGTAACAATAATCACAGTGCAAAGGGTGCTCTGCAAAAAGTGTTTCTCTCTTCCAGTGTCCTAGCCACATTGCTCAGAGACAACCACAGCCATCAGTTCTTATATGTCCTCCAGAGGAACACAGGCATATACATGTGTTTGTGTATATTTACCATCTCCTTTTTTACTCCACATAGGAGCAAATAGTATTGTATCTTTAAAATTTACCTTAGGAATTTTTCCACATCACCACTATGAAGCTCTACTTCATTCTGCACAATCGTCTATTGGATGTGTGTATCCCAATTCATTTAACCAGCCTCGATTCTAGACATTTTCTATTATGTACAATGCTGCAATGTGCATGGTAGTACATAAGTCTTTGAAAATTCCTAATAGCAGAACTGCATTGAACATTTTGAAATTTCAATTTGTTCATGATGCTGGCATGTTGCCCACCA